TTCTGCCTGATCCCATTACACGAGTCTGTCGGTGTCTCGAATCTCTACAGAAATTTATTTAGACATTCCGGACTCACTTACGAGATGCTGTCGCACTCCAGGACCCAAAGAGACGAATCTATCCCCATCTACCCCTCTTCCTTTCCATCCCATTTGACTTCTTCACTTGTCTGTAGCCCCTCACTGTATAGCCCCTATGCTGTAACCCACACTGTAGCCCCCTTACGTTGTAATTCCTTCACTGTAGCTGGCTGGTGTTTGCCTCAATCAACACCACTTCCGTGTTGCGTCGCCCCATACCTTTGGTCACGTCCTTATGTGCATTTATTTCTCTGCTGGCCTGACTCTCTCTCTCTCTCTCTCTCTCTCCACCCTCCCTTCCCCCTCTCCGTCACTCCTCAGTACTGCAGAAAGTCGATACTATGACGTCATGGTATCGGTAAACGCCCAGTTTTTTTCTTATCTGCCTCGTACAGCGCTCCGAAATATTAATTTCCAATCCCAGGACGCTCGTCCGTCACATCCGGGCGGCCATTAACACAAAAATTCCTATATCCCGTTTTTTATCAATGCGGCTGCCAAAGAAAACTCAAATTACGACAGTAAACTTAATTAAATTATATTTTCTTGAATTTAATGAGGACGACGTCGTTAGATCTCTGTTGAGTAATATCGAGATGATTGGCTGAAGATAAGCGGGGGTTTATAAGTGTGGCTGGTGGTGGTAGCTTAAGTGCTTCGTGGCATGCTACCCTTCACCTCACTCGCGTTGAGGTCACGTCTAGTGGTGTTGGACGACATGCTCGTCCTCCTAAAGGTTTTCCCAGCGTCAAGAAAACGGACAATTTAAAGTAGTCTCTCCTAACCTAACAGAGGACCCAAAACAGAAAACGGGACAGTGCGTCACTTTCGCCAGCCGCTTCCATTGTCTAGTTTGACGATTTTTGGCCTCATGTAACGCATACGATCGAAATACGACGTTCTTTGTAGGAGGACAGGTTGACTGAGGGCACGGTGACGTCAGGGTACAGTTTTTATTATTATTATTATTATTATTATTATTATTTTCTACCACAGACGTGGCCACACATTTACAATGCTAACCAGCATATATACATTTTCTTCTGTCCTCCATGGACAGGGTTAGAGATGTGTTAAACATATAGTTCAAGGGTTTATTGAACAATCAGCCACAGAAGGTGATTCGGTGCTTTTAAAATGCTAAGTTAACCTACATACGTAAATACAGGTACAGTGGTAGGAGGGTACGGTGACGAGAGGATACGGTGCATAATAACCCCTTTCCTAAGCGCTTGTGTACTGTGTACTGTGGACTCCAGATTGATCGATGAAGATAACCATCCTGGCACGGGCATGAATAGCCCGTAAGCCCTTTTGAGCCTTTACCAGTGAGAGCTGATACTGTCTGTGGAGGTGCGACTGCACCCTGCGTGACGGGAGATGCTCCCGTCGGACTCCAGATGCTAGGAACTATTTACTTACCAGGACAAAAGGGCCACTGTTGTTCGCATCACAGTCGAGCTACTTCTCAGTACAGTTCATACTTCACCAAGCCGAGTAACCGAACAAATTTTCTTTCCCATTTTCCCCAATTTTTTCCCCAACCATTCATGAAGAACGGACTTCATGGCTGTTTTCCCTTGACACCTTTTGTTCTTGTTTCTTAGAAGAACCGACTGCGGTGCATATCTCTTCACTTCCAGCTGATCATGTTGATCACACTTGAGAATGGTCCAAAACGGACCGAAACGTCGTCGTCCCTTCACTTACTAGTGTGTGATTTAGTCAACATATTTCAGCCACGTTATAGTGACTCCTCGTCTGCATGGTCATCTAGTTCTACCAGTGTTATGACCTTTTAATATTATTGGAGAGGACAAAATTGCTCAAAGATAATTTTGTCTTTGTCTATTTGTCTCTTCTATTTTGTCCAAATAGAGGAGTGTACCGCGCGCCTGTGAGGAACGTGGGACTATTCACAGGACTGGGGTTAGGTGGGGTTCAGTATTCTACTGATTCTTCAATTACTGGTGAGAAAGGCCTGAAGATTCTCTAGATTGGTCCGGTCGTCAGTGGTGGTGGTGTGGTGTGGGATGGGATTGTGTAGTGGGGGTGGGGGGGGGGAGAGAGAGAGAGAGAGAGAGAGAGAGAGAGAGAGAGAGAGAGAGAGAGAGAGAGAGAGAGAGAGAGAGAGAGAGAGAGAGAGAGAGAGAGAGAGAGAGAGAGAGAGAGAGAGAGAGAGAGCAGAGAGAGAGAGAGAGAGAGAGAGAGACAGAGAGAGAGAGAGAGAGAGAGAGAGAGAGAGAGAGAGAGAGAGAGAGAGAGAGAGAGAGAGAGAGAGGAGAGAGAGAGAGAGAGAGAGAGAGAGAGAGAGAGAGAGAGAGACAGAGAGAGAGAGAGAGAGAGAGAGAGAGAGAGAGAGAGAGAGAGAGAGAGAGAGAGAGAGAGAGAGAGAGAGAGAGAGAGAGAGAGAGAGAGAGAGACAGACAGACAGAGACAGAGAGACAGACAGAGACAGAGAGAGAGACAGAGAGAGAGAGAGAGAGAGAGAGACAGACAGACAGACAGAGAGACAGACAGACAGACAGAGAGACAGACAGACAGACAGACAGAGAGAGAGAGAGAGAGAGAGAGAGAGAGAGAGAGAGAGAGAGAGAGAGAGAGAGAGAGAGAGAGAGAGAGAGAGAGAGAGAGAGAGAGAGAGAGAGAGAGAGAGAGATTCACCCCTGACCTACTCCAGCCCCGTCGACCCGCCTTATCTTCAAAACGCGAAGCAACACGGTCACGAAACGTCTTCTTCTTCTTGTCATTGTTTGGTCCCCCCCGAGGCAGCCAGAACATTACCACCAGAACACTTTCGTACCAGACCTCATATCATAAAGATACGAGGTCGCAACTCAATGATGACTCAACCGTGACTACTTGCCATGGGCCCCCATACATACTCCTCTCTCATACATACAAATAAATATGTAAATCTTAAAAATAAACATAGATTTTCTTCGACTGTTTTGTGGAACGTCATTTAGTTAATAATTTGTCTTATATAACTAATGAATCATGTTGCATTTTTGTGAAAGATTTTTATATTCTATTACGAGTGCTGTATAGTTGTAATTTATTTAATTTATTTATTTATTTATTTATTTATTTATTTATTTATTTATACACAAGAAGGTACATTGGGTTTGTGAGAATACATAGCATAGTATTTACAATCTTGTAAAGCCACTAGTACGCGCAGCGTTTCGGGCAGCTAATGGCTTTGCGCTTTATCCTGACGCGCAGCGTTTCGGACAGGTAGTGGCTTTGCGCTTTATGCTGATAGTTCCCCTTCCTTTATATTTTACTAGGCCTAGGCTTTAGAGAGAAATGGGCCAGCCACAACAGTCAAATCATCTAGCAAATGAGGAAGATACAAATGTTATTCGAAATGTTATCTGTTCTTTACTATAGAAAAATAACAATGGGTAGTTAATAGGATGCTAAATATAACACAAAAGAGAACAAGATATAAAATTGTATATAGGTTTACACCCAAGAAAGACCTGGGTAAATACTGGTTTGGAAATATGGGGGTTGATTTGTGGTACAGATTATCGAGTAACACAAACAGATGTTGGATCCCCTGCATTGTTTCAAGCGAAGGTTAGACATATCTGAGTTAAGGTGGAAGTCAATGAGAATTACCTTTTGTCGCTTCCTCTATTTTTATGTATCTACAGCTGATCAAATTTGTAAAAAGTGAACATAGTAAGAACATAAGAACAAACGGAAGCTGCAGAAATCTTTACAAGTATTTTAATCTCTTCATAAAAGAACGGGGCCTCGTAGCCTGGTGGATAGCGCGCAGGACTCGTAATTCTGTGGCGCGGGTTCGATTCCCGCACGAGGCAGAAACAAATGGGCAAAGTTTCTTTCACCCTGAATTCCCCTGTTACCTAGCAGTAAATAGGTACCTGGGAGTTAGTCAGCTGTCACGGGCTGCTTCCTGGGGGTGGAGGCCTGGTCGAGGACCGGGCCGCGGGGACACTAAAGCCCCGAAATCATCTCAAGATAACCTCAAGATAAGGTTCCAATGCCTGAGATTACTTAGTTATCCTTCTTTTAACATGTTCAAGTGAACTTATGTCCGCTCTTAAGTAGGTGACCAACAGTGAACTGCCTTGTTCACTGTTGTGAACAATCTAAGTTCGGCCTTGAAGGTGCATGTACAGCTAAAGAACAACATTGAATACATTAATTTGATGTTGGGCCTAAGGCCTATTAATCTCTGAAGGGTTATTAAGGACACCACAATAGTCTTACTGATCAACCAGCAAGTATACTTTAGCTTTGAAGATACTCCAGGACCAAAGTATACTCTGTATATTCACAGAGGGGGGGAATGCACATCTTTTATATAAACACATGACTCTCAGTATCCTATTGTCATTATTAAATATATACATTGATTTATACATATTTTTGGGGGCTCAAGATCACGACTAATCATAACTAATCATAACGACTAATCAGGCTTTTTTCCACATTCAGACCCAACAATTTCAACACTGTCCAACCAATATGTTTTTACTATGATTACTCTAACCGTTAACTAAGCTTATAAACCGGTTATAATAATAATAATAGTTATTAAACTGTCTTGTAGGGATTCTGAGTTTTCTTCCGAGAAGACCTGACATGAACACCAGCTGATCCATTCATGATCAAAAACACGACAATAACAGCTGATTCACCCGTAAACAAACGCGAAAGCAAAAACAGCCGACTCATTCATAAACACCATAGTAACAGAAGAAGCGCCATTGATAAAGTCAATAGTAACAACAACAGATCCATTCGTAAACAACACGATAACAAACCGCTTACCCATTCATAATCAAACTACTACGTGAACACACACACACACAGCGAGTGACTCACTGGTCTGATTCACTGGTCCATTCACTAACTGTTGCCCCCTCTTTGCTTTCCAGGAGCGGGGCGAGCCTAGGAGACCAGAACGCCAGCTCCACTACCAACCTCATCAGCGGCTGGAAGGATAAGGACAAGCGCCGTCAGCCAGTGTTCCAGAGGGACTGGTATGACGTCCATACCTGAGTCCCACTCTCGCGAGCCCTAACTTCTGGAACTACACACTTATAATCACCCATTAGAAGAGCAGCCTGTCAATAGAATGTCTCGCGAAATATACGTCTGGTATCGCCCATTCAAAGATCAAATTCTGTCATTGGAACCGCTTATCAATGGCGTCATCCACTGCAAGACCATTGATAGGCAACCTCCCACTGGCTAGAAAAGGTCCACCAGGACCTACGCCAAGGATACCCTGGAGTACCCAGTGGGAACACACCGAAAACGCTCATTCAAAATGCTACTTAAACTACCAAATAAGGAGCCCGGAACAAACACTCCACTACATTAATCACTCGCGGAGGCCACTGATCTGATGTTCCATCAGCCGTGTCGCTCAGTCAGGGGGTATCCCCAAGATCATCTTCGCCAGACTCCGTTCTTGCTATAGTGTTGACACACACATTCTCGTACCTGTCTACAAGGGAGAATAAGTAACGGAGTGCAATAAACAAAGTCTTAATCTTTACGTCAGCGAATCAGGCACAGGCGGTCCTAACAGGTGCGTTCAACAGGAGCATAGCAAGTGAGGCTATGGACAATACACAAACCTGGAGTGACTGAAAGGGGCCGTTAACAGAGCTAGCAGATGAAGCCAACGGAAGAGCCCGTCATGATGAAGTGCAGCTGTCGGAGGCGAACAATCATCCCCTTAATCAACAGACTAAGCATGTCTACTGTGCCAGGCAGCAAGTCACGTGAAGCGACAAGCATCTACTGTCCCAGGCACGAAGTCACGTGAATCAACGCGTAATCAACACGCAATCAACAGACTAATCACGTTGATTACTAAGCAAGTTGAGACTTCCCCCTTCGCGCAAGAGCCTTCTCGCCTCCCTCAAGAAATACAGAACCAAGTCTCTCAGAGGTACCATGATACACAGACATTAAGACGAAACCAACACCCAATACCTGAAAACATCAAGATGCCTCGTAAACGTTCTTTCCTTTCTCAAGTCTGAACGTTAGACTATTAGAAACGAGGTTACGTGAGGGAGAGCGTCTAGAGAAACGCCCTGACCTGTTCTTGCAACATGCCATGCCAATACCACTCGAACTCCAATATGCCCAGACACGACACTGCGCCACGGAGAAAGACACACCCATCATTAAGTCGAAATGAATTGCATTCGTCTATTGAAGAACTGGGAGGCACTCGGTCCCAATGCAGGAGAGAGAGAGTTTGCATTCGTCTATTGAAGAACTGAGAGACACTCGGTCCCAATGCAGGAGAGAGAGAGTTTGCATTCGTCTATTGAAGAACTGAGAGACACTCGGTTCCAATGCAGGAGAGAGAGTTTGCATTCGTCTATTGAAGAACTGGGAGGCACTCGGTCCCAATGCAGGAGAGAGAGAGTTTGCATTCTACTGCTATCAGAAGGTGAGGAATTTTAACACATTTAGGTACGTGTGAATTTGTGCAGATGCCCTAGACTATATGAAGGCTAGTACAGTGTGTCACAAAATCTAGCTACGTGATGCTGAAAATCCCCATCACACAGGATGGTTAGTCATACAGAGGCATGTGATAAGTAGTCTACATTGGCAAGAGGAATTACGCAGACACCCCAAGTAGCCTACGACTTGGAAATATGGTCGTTGGAATTTCTTCGCTGTGATCTCGATTGCCAAAAAGAAGCAATATATAAGGAAAAGCAGTCTACATGAAGAGTCACTCCCCGCCAAACACACACCGAAACTACGACGTTGGTACAACGTTCGAACAAGTTTTATCACCTCCTAACCAGTTGTAACAACCAATATAGCAAGTTGTAACAGCGTTCTAATACGTCATAAACACATTAAGCCAAGATGTAACAACTTTATTACAAGTTGTTACAAGCGGAAAATAGAGACAGTTTCGGTTTGTGTTTCCAGGGTCGTGTGAAGGACAGACAGCAAAACAACACCCTTAGGAAGAAACACTAGTCAAGAAACACCTCAAGAAAGACAAAAATGTTTCTGAAGGAACACCTGAAGACTCCACACAACATGTTAGGTTAAAAAAACAAAATCAGTTAAAGACAAAAAATGGGAAGCAGAACACCCTATCCCTGCCCTGCTTAGGGCGTCAGGGTTTAAGGGAGACCAAGAAAGGATTAAAAGGGAGTGGGCAGAGAGACCCGTGATCAAGATAACTGTGCTATCACGGACAGGGCACGTCTCTAGTGGGACAAGAAGCAATTAAGAGGAGGGAAAAAGGTGTTGCAGGTGAAAATTAGCCAATCTTTTCTTGCGGTAGAAAACGGGAGAAGTGTGATGGGCCGACTGATGACGTCACACAAGATGCCAAATGTACTTTGTAATATCGTCTACTGTATTATTATTACTACAGTATTATTACAATTATCATTTTATTATTATCATTACACAAGTATCATACATTAAGTATTAATTTGATCACTGTGAATAGAACTACAATACGTAGGACGCTGTATAAACTAGCTATTTTCTAGGTCCCAAGGCACACATTGTGATATATAATTGTGATAAGCTGACTTATGAGTGTTTACATACATCTAATACAATCATAAAAGAACCGTATGTGCTTAAGAGCTATATAATTATTTATATAATTATATGGTGTAAAGCTTATATGGTTCCCAAGCCTATGTTCAACTGTAAGTTACGACCCCTTTAGGTCGTAGTTGGACCGTCATACAACCATACCCCTGGTCGTTCACTACCAGGGGGGGGTTGACCCCCCTGGTAGTTCAGTACTATACCCAGTCTGCCAGCAATTGCTGGGGGTAGAGGTCAGGGTGCTAAGCTGCTAGGGGAATGGTTCTCTGGCGGCCCAGGTTCGAATCCTAGAGGGTTCATAGACTTTATAGTTTTTAAAGATTTTATATAATATATATATTTATTTATATTTTTATTTTTATTTATATATGTATATGTATAACCTCAATGCAACAAAAATGTTATTTATAAACCATTTCAAATGCAAAAGGGATCCCAAACAACTCGATTGTTTATATACCAACAGTTCCAATTGGTTATTAACATATACGCCGTAGCCTAACAAATACTCGTATATCCTTTCCCACATTTCTCGTACTTGCTAAAATACCTTGCCAACAAGTCCTTTAAGTAACATTACGGACAAAAACAGGAGATAAAGATAGACTTTTCTATATAAATCTTGGCCCGTGATATTGAGCCTATTGTCGATGTAAACAAGAGGTTCTACTCCCTTATTGGCTGTCTGTCGGTGTTGCCAACCTTCTCAATATTACTTTTTTTTATTTTTTAGAATGAATACGTGTTTGCATGCAAGTATTATTACAAAGTTTGAAGTCTAGTTGAGACACGGTGATTAGTACGGTGCGCGCAGTATTGTAACAACTAAGGTGACCTTGTGTGAGACAAATATGTATTTGAGAACTTTAGTGGAGTATGGCAGCTCTTGCTGGTCAGGACGTTGCCATATGTTGCAAGTAAACACCATTATTTTATCATGTTATGTCATCTAGTTTGGTAATATAGACATAATATGAGATGAAGAATTCAGTAGTAATTAAACCTGTTTATTTGACATAGTAATTAAATGTTAAAATATATATTTTTTAGTGGATGATGTTGAGGAGACTCTTGCCAGCATGACGTCACTGGTCGATTAACAGAGGTGCAATTGATCATGCAGAGTTGGACGCTGCTACAGGTGCTGGCGTCCCCCCCTCCCTCACGCCCCCACTACAACCCCCACCCTCATGCACCCCCCCGTCTAACGCCCCCACCCTCGTACACCCCCCTCTCACGCCCCCACTACAACCCCTCTGCCCCCAGCACCACCTTCTCTTCACCCCACTTAAACAATACCTTTCTCACGCCCATACTTATGTCATGTCCCCTCTCATCTTCCCTCTCCCAAGCAGTTGGTGTTGTTGTTATAGATTCAGCTACTCGGAACAAGTTCCAAGTAGCACGGGCTATGGTTAGCCCGTAGCTTACCTGGCACAAGGAGCGGGGCAAGTAGCACGGGCTATGGTGAGCCCGTAGTGGACTTACCTGGCACAGGAGCGGTGCTGATGCAGAACCTCTCCATGACGTATCACATTAAACCGTGCCTCCCTCCCCCACCTCTCCTTCAAGGACACAACTCCAAACCACCCCCCCCCCCTTCCCCCCCTCACGTCCTTTCACGTTTCCACCCCCCAGCCCCAGGACACCCCCCCCCCTCTCACACACACGCACACACCAATATATATTCCATAAAAATAATTAGCGGCCATTACGACCCTATTGTTCCTGATGTTGGGTCATAGATAAATGCCATCTATTGTAGACGATGCAAAGCTGATGAGGATAGGGACAGAGGAGGATTGCAGGATACAACACGAGGATGTGAACAACTTGCAGCAATCCTCTAATAAATGGTTATTGGAATTCACTTCCAGCAAGTGCAATGTAATGAAAATGGGAGGAGGAAAATGAACATCAAAAGAGAAATGCAACATGTCGAGGAGCTCCAGAAAAACAGAAGGATCTGACTGTAGACATGATTAAAGCGACATCAGGTCTAATGCTGGAAGCGTAAGAAGAATAGCATATGAGGGCAGCTGATTACGCAAAACCAGCCTGGAACCCCACCTTGTGAAGCACGCCCAGAGACAAACGCGTACACACACACGCACACACACATATAATATATATATATATATATATATATATATATATATATATATATATATATATATATATATATATATATATATATATATATATATATATATATATATATATATATATTATATAAACACACACACACACTTGCAACAAGATTAGCACTACAAACCATTAGTTTAGTTCGTGTTGTATTCCATACCTATCATGAGAACAGCAGTGGAAAATGTTACAGCCACATGTTGGCTTCAGTAACTGAACCCGAACTTTCATTTAGCTAAGTTACAGCATTAACTACAGAGTTGATCAACATATAAATCAGCAGTCATTATCAATTTATCAAACTGGCAACAGATTTAAACCACGAAGAAAGCCTATGGAAGCATCCTATGCAATAAAACAAATTGAACTAGAAGAAACATGATCACGACATGCACGATACTAAGGCGATAGAGGATATGGACAGCCTGTTTGAAATTTGGGAAAATAGAACAAGGAAAAATAATGACCCACAGAAATGTCAGGAGCAAGAGTTGTGCTAGGTACCCGATAGAGGCGGAGTCCAAGAGCCGAATCCTACTTCCCGCAAACACAAAGTTATAAAATACACGAATTTCCGCAACGCGCAAATATACTAATATGCATAGTAATATCGCAACAACTTAATTCACCAAAGGAATTATTGAGGCTATGTAAATGGATCGAACCCGCATCCTGGACCTCCTCAA